GGGTTAATAGCATCTGAAGGATCGTTCTAAGGATTGAATGGAACAATCCATGTAAAGTGCTTGACACAGTACCAGGTACATAGTAAGCGTTAAATAGATGTTAACATTTATTATCAGGGCAATGTTTAAAATTTTTTTTATGTTTTTAAATTTTTTTTTTGAGAGATTAAGAGAGAGAGAGACATTGTTAGCGGGGGAGGGGCAGAGAGAGAGGGAGACACAGAATCCGAAACAGGCTCCGAGCTGTCAGCACAGAGCCAATGCGGGGCTTGAACCCACGAGCAGTGAGATCAGGGCCTGAGCCAAAGTCAGACGCTCAACTGACTGAGCCACCCAGAACCCGGGCAACATTTAGGTGGGAAGACAAGGTCCGCATGGGTTAGAGGTGACAATAATACAATTATCCTGCATAAGCTATATGCCCAGCTTTGGAAATACTACTCACTTTCACCATTAAATGGGGGGAGGGGGAAGCTACTTCTTGCTTAAGTCTATTAAAATCTACTTTAATAATAACTGTATTCTCTCTACCTAAAAAGAAGAGGAAGCAGCACGGCCAAACAAACAAAAAAGACATTTAAGAAAAGAACAGAACCTAGATTATGGATTTTAAAATAAATGGGTATTCAACATGCATTTATTTACTGTATTTCACAAACTCTAAGGCAAGCATATTTTTACATTTTAATACCTCTGAAATCACAGTTAATGACATCTTAGTAAGTTGAAGTGTAGCCATTCTGTTTCCTTTAATGGTACACAAAATAATATAAAAGTCAGTGGTATTTTAGGTTCGCAAAAACAAAACTTTCAGTAAATCAATTTGGTAATTCGAAATTCATGGTAAATTATTTGTGTGGGAGTCCCATTTGTTGGCTAGGTTTTGAGGGGAAAAAAAATGTATCAAGTTGATCATTGGCTAAAGAAGTACTGATTTTAAAGCAACACTTCTCGGGGTGCCTGGGTGGCTCAGTTGGTGAAGCCTCCGACTTCAGCTCAAGTCACAATCTCACCGTTCATGGGTTCGACCCCTGCGTCAGTCTCTGTGCTGACAGCTCGGAGCCTGGAGCCTGCTTCCGATTCTGTGTCTCCCTCTCTCTCTCTGCCCCTCCCCTGCTCGCGCTCTGTCTCTCTTTCAAAAATAAATATTAAAAAGAAATGTTTATTTTGTTTTTTGAGGCCAGAAAGGGAAAATATTGGGGAGAAATGTTGGGTGTGTTAAACATTAATGTGCTTTTAATATCAGTAAACTGGAGCTGACAAGGTTGTATTTCCCATTGTATACTGCTGAACAGCCCTATTTCCTTATTTAAAAATAGTGCTTCTCAGGCTAACCCTTCTACTACTTCTGGATTTTTTTGGATTACTTTGGGTGATTTTGAAAGATTTATGCCTGATTTTTTTAAATTTTTTAAATGTTTTATTTATTTCTGAGAGACAGAGAGAGAGAGAGAGAGAGACAGCATGAGCAAGGGAGGGTCAGAGGAAGAGGGAGATACAGAATCTGAAACAGGCTCCAGGCTCTGAGCTAGCTGTCAGCACAGAGCCTGACGTGGGGCTCGAATCCACGAACTGTGAGATCGTGACCTGAGCTGAAGTCAGATGCTTAAGCGGCTGAGCCACCCAGGTGTCCCTATGCCTGATTTTCAAACCTAATTCCACTCTGGAAGGGTGTGGGCATAATGTAGATCACAGAGCAGGTGGAGACATAGATTTACATCCCAGGGCAGTGGAGTAGTGCTCCCTGGGCCAGCTGTTCTAGACGGGTGTCCTGTCTGATGACTCCTGGGCACCAGATGTGAAGGAAGATCTAAATCCCTCATCATGTGCTGAGTTCCACAGTGCCCCACCCCCAGGAGTGCAGACTGACCTCTCTCTGTCTCTCTCCCAGAAATGTCACAGTAGTCACATTGCTTTCGAGATTGTGCAGGAACATTAAACGCTGCCTCAGGAGGGGTGTGTGTGTATGTGGGTGTGTGCACGTGAAAAATTATCAGATAAAAGTTAAAAATTTAATTTGGGGTGATGGTTGAGGTCTGGGAGAGTTATTGCTTCGAAACTGCTCTTTAAAAGTATATGGGGCGCCTGGGTGGCTCAGCCAGTGAAGCCTTAGACTTTAGCTTAGGTCACAATCTCATGTCCGTGAGTTTGAGCCCCGCGTTGGGCTCTGTGCTGACAGCCCAGAGCCTGGAGCCTGCTTCGGATTCTGTGTCTCTCTCTCTGCCCCTCCCCTGCTCACGCTCTGTCTCTCTCTCTTCCTCTCTCTCAAAAACAATAAACAAACATTAAAAAAATAAAGTCTGATCTGCTGGCAATGCCCATAATATTTCCGTCAAACTTGTGAAGTTGAGGGAGTGAGCAAGCTGGTGCTAATGAACTAAAGAAAAGAAGGCAAGGGAAAGGGTGTCCTAAATATGCACCCGCAGGGTCATTGTCTTCCATTGACATGAAGACGTGGTATCCTCAGCTCCTGGGGGACGGCCGAGTCCTATAATATTTATGCCTCCAGCGTCTCTCTTCTAATGTGTTCAACAAATGAAAATGATCCTGGATTTGTGGGTGCGTAGAACTGGGGCCGGAAGACCTGGATGTTTTGTTTGACCATTTGTTTTACAAGTGAGGAGATGGTGTGGGTCCAGGGAACGTTAGGGAATGTACTTGGGATGCTTGGTGGTAGAGGCCGTCACGGATTCCCCCAATCTCTTGATTTAAAATTCCGTATTTGTACGGGCACCCGGGTGGCTCAGTTGGTTAAGTGACCGACTTCGGCTCAGGTCATGATCTCGCGGTTTGTGGGTTCGAGCCCCGCGTCAGGCTCTGTGCTGACAGCTCGGAGCCTGGAGCTCCTTCGGATTCTGTGTCTCCCTCTCTGTCTCTGCCCCTCCCCCGCTCACGCTCTGTCTCTCTTTCAAAAATAAACAAATATTGAAAAAAAAAGTTCCACATTTGTCAAATATGATTACACAAGTAAGACCAAGTTAAACTAAATAACTTGTCTTCGTAGAAGTTTGTTGGGTTGCTATGGGAATTTCCTCCGGCTGGCTGCGGCAGAAATGGGGAATTATTGAAAGGAAGCTGAAGTATTGCCCAGAACTGCCCGGAACTGAACAAAGAGCTGAGCAAGCAAGGCTGCGGTGGGAAGGGGCCTGGGCGGCCTTGGGTCTCCCGCCGCCACCGCCACCACCTCGGCCCTGCCTCCTCCCGACTCTGACTCCGCAGGGCTGGCCTCCCCTAGAGTGGCATCTGCTCACACAGGCCTTGCTGACCGATTGTCCCACCCTGAGTTTCACGGTGACTTGTTTGGAAGTTTTAAGTCCCGGATGCCCAAGGCCAGGCCCTCAGAGACTGTGACTAGCTGGTCTGGGGTAGAGCTGGGACACGTGTGTTAATTTTCAAAGCCCCCAGGTTGTTCTGAGGCAGAAACCAGGTTAAGGATGGTGGCCTTGCACGTTGCTAGAACAAATATAGCCTGTACTTTAGAACCTCTGCAGCCGAAACTAGGGTTAAAAGAATTAAAAATGAGAAATCACGGGGTGCCTGGGTGGCTCAGTGGGTTAAATGTCTGCCTCTTGATCTGGGTCAGGTCATGATCTCACGGTTTGTGAGTTCGAACCCCATGTCGGGCTCTGTGCTGACAGGGTGGAGGATGCTTGAGATTCACTCTCTCCTCTCTCTCTACCCCTCCCCTGTTTTCTCTCTTGCTTTCTCTCTCTCAAAAATATATAAATAAGCATTAAAAAAGGAGAAATCTAGAAAGGATATATTAAGCAACAGTAAGGCATTTGGAGGTAACCACACAGAAGTGAAATTAACAAGAGCCCTCCAGATTGGGTGCTCGCTCCCTTCTGTGGGTGTGTTACCTCCCTTAACCCTCACGGCGCCTCCCGTCCCCCACAGATAGGGGGCAACATCCTCATTTTCCAAGTGCATCAACTGAGCCCGAGGGGTTAAGTAACTCCCCCAGGTCCAGTAGCTTGGGATTCAGACTCAGCCCGAGCTGATGCACACACAGCCATCAGGCCCAGAGGACGAAGAGTCTGAGTGGCCCGTGTCCCCGTGCGGGTCGCGCCGGGGCTGCGGTGAGGGTACTCCACCTGTCCTGAGGCCAGCACACCAGTGACGTGCCCGACAGGAAGGTGTTGACGGTGGGGATACGTTGCTGAGGGCGAACACGTTGTCCGTAAAAAAACGCTGGGCGAGAAAGAGGATCTCGGTTCTTGAAGAAAAGCAGAACCTGCTGGGGGTTCAAGGCTAATTAACGGAAATGTGAAGAGTGTGAGCGTGTGAGAGCCTCAACCTAAAAGCGGTTTTGTTCAAAGAGGAGAAAAAAAAATGGTGGGGGTGGGGGGGTTACGAAATTTTGAATTCTGTCTCTTCGGAAATCGAGATACCGGGTAGTGTTTGGTGAGGAGAATGGGAAACCTAACTATGAATGGTCTGTTGATAGGCTACATCTCCTAACAATAACAGAGTAGAACAGGCTTCACAGAAGAGTCTAGAAGGCATCCCCTCTGCCTGGGGGACCTGGAAACGGCCTGCTTCTAACACACAGGGATGGACAGCAGGCCTCCAAGGGTTCTTGAAGAAAGACTCTGTAATCCTTTTGGGTTTAACCATTAGGCAAATTTAGTTTCCTGGTTTCAGAAAGAGAAAACACACCCACAGAAAGAAAAACCCAGGCCCGTGGGAACGAGTGACTTCCTCCTCCTGGGGGTGCTGAAAAGCCTAATGAGCCAGTCAGAGTCCCTTTCCTGCCCAGCCCCAGCGTGAGGCCGGCTGGGGACCGCCTCGGGCCGAGGCGGGGCGCTGGGGCCTGGCCAGCTCGGCCAGCTCCTCCTCTGAGCACAGCGGGGCTGAGAGGTGGGTTTGGAAAACCCGGCCCCCAGGGCAGAGAAACTGGTTCGAGGCAGCTTGGTAATTCTGGGTGTTCCCAGGGAAACCGAGGCCCAGAGCGGCTGTGTTGGGCACTCTCTGCTCTTTCTCTCCCTTTCCTTAAAAGCAACACATCTTGAAGCCGGAAAAGCCTGATTCTTCATTTTTGACTCGCTTGGGGACAAATTCAGAGAAGCTGAAGCCAGGTGAGAGTAGGTATTTCTGCAGGCACAGCACTGCTTTTCCTGCCAGCTAGGTGAGCCTGTGCGGCAGGTACGGGCAGAATGAGGTAGCAGACTCCCTGAGGGGGGGCCGGCGCGAGGTAGGGAAGGGTCTGCAATCTGGGCCCCTTAGGTTTTAATAAAGCAAATGGGGGTAAGAATGGAGGTGGAGGGGTGCCTGGGGGCCCAGCCGGTGAAGCGTCCGACTTTGGCTCAGGTCATGATCACGATCAGTTTGTGGGTTCGAGCCCCGTGCTGACAGCTCAAAGCCTGGAGCCTGCTTCAGATCCTGTGTCTCCCTCTCTCTCTCTCTCTCTCTCTGACCCTCCCATGCTCTCTCTCGCTCTCTCTCTCAAAAATGAACTTTTTAAAAATACTTAAAAAAAAAAAAGAATTGAGATGGAGATGATAGGGGGTGGGTCACTAGAAGTTTAGAGCCGCTTTAGCTGTGAGTGAATCCACACTCTTAAACACTCCTTAGCACGTAACAGTTTTGTTTGTGCCTAAGGCTACACAGCCTTTGTTTGCTTAAGTGTGATAATGTCACTGTCATCTGCCTCCCCTTGTTTTAGGGGACAGGGAGGGAAAACGGGAAGTGACACAGTGCTCGTGAAGCGTTTAACAGATGCTATTTCATTTCATCCTCACAGCAGCCATTGAAGGAGGAATATTATTTACATTTTATAGACGAGGAAAATGAAGTGTAACTAATCAAGTAACTTGCTGATATTTATACTGCTATTAATAAGTGGAGGAACAAAATTGGACCCATATTTCCTCATTCCAAAGCCCTTTGCTACTTCAGAAAAATTATTTTTTTAAGTTTATTTATTTTTGAGAGAGAGAGAGTGCGGGGAAGGAGCAGAGAGAGAGGGAGAGAGAATCCCAAGCAGGCTTCGAGCTGCTAGTGCAGAGCCTGATTCAGGGTTTTAACTCGCAAACTAGGAGATCATGACCTGAGCCAGGATCAAGCGTCGACACTTAACTGACTGAGCCACCCAGGCACCCCCAGAAAGATTATTTTTTTTTTAAATGCAGAGATTTTTCAGCCCAAATTCCTTGATTTTTTTTTTTTTTTTTTTTTTTTTTTTTTTTTTTTNTTTTTTTTTTTTTTTTTTTTTTTTTTTTTTAGTTAATGGGGACATTTTGATAGTTTTCATGGTCGGAAATGAAAATAATTTTGGGGTCTAACATTTACGGATCATCTATTAAAAAAATAAATAGAGGTGCCTGGGTGGCTCATTTGGTTGAACGTCCAACTTCGGCTCAGGTCATGATCTCCCAGTCCGTGGGCTCGAGCCCCACGTCGGGCTCTGTGCTGACAGCTCAGAGCCGAGAGGCTGCCTCCAGTTCTGTGTCTCCCTCTCTCTCTCTGTCTTCCCCTCCCCCATCACACTCTATCTCTCTCTCCAAAACAAATAAAAACATTAAAAATTTAAAAAACACACAAATAAGAGTAATGAATTTTACTTACAGAATTACATCTGACTGTAACATCGAGTCCTTGGGATTTCTAAGTTCAAGTTTCTAAGTTCAGCTTTAACTCAGTAAAACGGTGTTTTGTTGCTGACGTGGCAACTGGGTAGTGGTTCTGTGGGGAGGGGTGGTGGAAGCAGGTGGTCTACAAAAAGGTAGGATAAACACGGTTTCTGCCCTCAAGGAGTTTATACTCTGATCGAAAGGAGCTATGCATGCGTTCACAGATAGACAATTTAAGAGTTAACAGCATAAAATAGGGATTGACTTGGGGGCTTGTGCCTAAGTTCCAAATTGATTATAGAGAGAAGAAATCAGAGGTGGGTACAGATGTAACCTGAGGGGACCAGGCAAGATTGGGTGTGCGTTAGGTTTAGGAAGATGCGTCGGATCTGCCTGGATGGGTACATGCCAAGGGGCCAAGGCGGGATCGTGCTGCCATGTCCATAAATACAAGTATGTGTCCGTGAAGGACTCTTCTGCTTGGAGCCACACGGGAGATGGTGAGGTAGACCGTCACCAGGCTGTGAGGGGCCGGGTGGCAAGTTAGAGATTTGAGATTTCATCTCCTTGGCAATAGCAGTGGGGCTGATGCACTATGAGAGGTGATGGTATCACCCCAATCACTATAAACATCTGGCTTTCGTTGAGCGTCTGCCCCACTTGCTCTATTCACCAGATGAACCACACAGAACACTTCCAAGAGCCCGGCCCTGTTCTCCGCTCTGGAAATACAGCAGCGCGCGGGCCTAGCAAAGATCCCTGCTCTGCTGTGAGGAGAGACGGACAGAGGCTAAAGCAGGGCCTGCAGTCTGAATGCCTGTGATACTGCTATGGAGAAGTGTCAATAGGGAAGTGAGCAGGGCGAGGAAGAAGGCACGTGGCCATTGTGAAACTGGGCTGTGCCAGTCCGTATGAACTCGCCGGATTGGTGGAGTCCCAGAGAGTGGTCTGAGAGCTTGGGATCTAGGCGGACACAGTGGTAAGATGATGCGCGAAGAGGAGCAAAGTGTAGGGGAAAGGCCGATGTGCTGTAGGACGAGCTAGGGGGCACCTGCCACAATCCAGACTCGTTATCCGTACGGTGCTGTGATGTTGGCAGTTACTCTCATGTAGGGGTTCGTAAAACAGGAGACTAATGTGGGGAAAACCACCGTAATACACATTTTGTCCGGTCCGTGCCTTCTTTCTAAGCTTCGAAACCAAGCACAACTGTCTTGCGAAAGACAGGGCCTGACGGAGAGTTGTTTCCTACTGCGTAAAGCGTGACACACAGGTGGCAGTGACGACAGCTTCCGAGCCCGGCTGAGTAGGATGGTGAGAAAAAGGAGGCATTGTCACGAGGGAAGATGGGACTTCAGCAGAATATCTGTCCTGCTGTCGCCATGATCTGAGACTTTCCTCAAATGAATCGGGGCATCCTCCGCATATGCATAGAGAATGAGCGGTTTCTCCTTACAGCGGGGTAGGCGATACGAAATTGAAGGTGGTGGGGGCGGTGCCAGGAGACCTCCCCCCGCCTCCCCAGGTGCACCTGGCCGGGGGCCCCCCATCCTCAGCTGTCTCTCTGCCTCACTGCTCAGGCTCACAGCACCCATCTACTCTGCCCTAACCTGCTCACCTTTTAAAGGCTTCAGACCCTGAGTGTGGCAGTGATTTTTACATGGCAACCATAGGGCAGAAGAAACACAAAAGAATCCCATCTGTGTCTAGGTTGTTAGGTCCAAACTACATAATGTATATTTGTTACAGCAACTTTGCACGATTTGAAAAAAATAGGACACAAACCTCAAAAGCAAAAAATACTAGTTTTACATCATTCTTTTTTAAATTTTGTTTTTAACGCTTATTTATTTTGGGGAGGCAGTGTGTGCATGTGCACATGAGCTGGGGAGGGGCAGAGAGAGGGAGACAGAGGTTCCAGAGCAGGCTCACGCTGACAGGACGGAACTCACACACTACGAGATCACAACCTAAGCGGAAGTCGGATGCTTGGCGGACTGAGCCACCCTTACGTTATTCTTTTTTTTTTTTTTTTAATGTTTTATCTATTTCTGAGAGAGAGACCATGTGAGCAGGGGAGGGTTAGAGAGAAGAGGGAGACACACAAGCAGGCTCCAGGCTCCGAGCTGTCAGCACAGAGCCTGACGCAGGGCTCGAACCCACGAACTGTGAGATCATGACCTGAGCCGAAGTCGGACGCTTAACCGACTGAGTCAACCAGGCGCCCCACCCTTACGTTATTCTTAAATGAACACGATTAGACCCTGACGGGATGTGTGTACCTGTGTCCTGCAGCCTCCCAACTTATGGAATTGTATCAGACACCACCATCCTTACTTTCTGTTCCATGTTTATCTTCATGTTTCTGTTCCATGCGGTACTTCCTTTTTATCACAGCAACCACAGAAAACCCTGTTTCACACAGATTCGAGATTGTTGAAAGGAATACAGTGCAATCTAACCTAGAAACTGTGCTGTTCGTTCTCCTGCTGTTCAAAAGACGTTTCCCTTGCAACTGTGAAATATCCCCAGTTCGCCTTGACTTTGCAACGGCACCCGGGGTGCCTTGGCACACAGTTTGGGAACTGTGACTCTGGTCCGCTCTCTTCGACCTCGTCATCTTTTCCTCCATCTTATGGCGCTTCTTGGCCATACCCATTTGAAGACAGTAACTTTGGACCCAGCCATGGCCTCATTTCCTCTTTTTCACTTTTAGACTCCTGGACTGAGTTTAAAGTTACTCTCTCCAGTCTGTTTGTACTTAGTAAGTCACCATTTTGTCTTCAAGCTTAGTCCAAAGAATGGTTTCCACTTCTTCTTCCTCACGTCTTTTGTGTGTAAAGTCTGGCCCTGTGACCTCTGGTGTTCTGTATTAGACTCATTGCCTGGCTTCTAACCATCACACTTTGTTGACCACGAGCTCACACAGTGCCAGGCCAGGGGGAAGACGGGCTGTCCATGCCTTCATCTCTCTTGAATACGTTTAAAGTCCACCACAACAACCCCATCGGGATGAGTGCCCGTATCACCTCGTTCCCCGTCTGTGGAAACTGAGGCAGGCTGACATTAAGGCATTGTCGCAGGACAGAGCATCACATGGGTGTCCCTGGTCTCCCAGATGATGGGAAAATCCAAACGACCGCTCTGGATAGAGGTGACTGGTAGAAACATGTGACTCGCCATGTTTGATTTTTAATTTTACGAGCCTATTTTTATCCAAGTAAAACACCGTAGCTTTTTGTACATATTTTGGCAATAGAGAAAGAGAAGGAAAAAAAAAACTGACCCACCATAAAAGCATAAAAGTGTTTTTGTTTCCATGTTGATTTCATTTGACTTTAATATTTCTTTCCAAACTTTTTCTACATGTGTAATCATAATGTATATAAAACTTACCTTGCTTCTTTTTAATGTTACATTATAAACAGGTTTTTTTAGTTTATTTATTTATTTTGAGAGAGAGAGAGAGCGAGAGCGAGAATCCCAGGCATCGTCCCATGAACCGTGAGATC